CTTCCCCCTTTGGAGCTTGGTAGAGCTGCTGAGAAGAAAGCAAAGTAGTTAGGGAGGTCAAAATCTGATAACATCCACGTTTCCTGTAAGAGAAGAATGTTAAATTGAGTTAGATAGTCAATAAAGTTCCTATCCAGAGCTTTGCCGGCCCAGCCCGCGATATTCCATGACAGGAGCGAAATATATTGATTGAAGGGAGGAGCCGGCCCAGGACCAGGAAGTCAATGAGCAGTTATGAGATCCAGTTGACCATCGTCATCTGTAAAGACACATCCATTTTTAGAGGAAGGGTCAATGCTCGGGTCTATCGGTTTGGGAGGTGAAACATCTGGTTTGATTGAAGGGAGGAGCCGGCCCAGGACCAGGAAGTCAATGAGCAGTTATGAGATCCAGTTGACCATCGTCATCTGTAAAGACACATCCATTTTTAGAGGAAGGGTCAATGCTCGGGTCTATCGGTTTGGGAGGTGAAACATCTGGAGTTTCCCTTTGCAACTGTTCAGGAGAAAGGATCTGATTGTCCTCTTGATTCTCGCATACCATGGCGTTATTCCCATCCAAAACTTGTTGGAGAGAATCTGGCAATAGACAGGACTCTTTGGATTCAATAAGTTTGGTTCTTAAAGCATCAAGTCTGTCGGTGATGGCCACTTGCTCAGGAGAAGGTAGAGTTTTGAAAGATTGTATAAGATTCTCCTCCACTGAATTGTCCAAATAAGAGGGGTCATGAGGGAGAGACTCTGGCAGGAGATGGACGTTAGCAGGATTCCTCTGAGGGAGATTGAAATTTGGGTTCATGTCCAAGGGAGGAACATTAAATGAATGCACTTTGTGAAACAGAGGAGAAACAGAGAGATTGATGAATACTCGTGTCACCAATATGCCCCTTTGAGATAGCTGTTTTCTTCGCTTCAGAACCAGGGCAGGGAGTACAGAAGATTTAAAAGTAACCAACATTTTCTGAGGCTGAAAGCGTCCATTAAGGGGTTCAACAAATGATATCTCCGAAGGCAATACTTTAGTCCTGAGAAGAAAGGACAGGTGTCTGCTAATATCCTCTTTAGTTCTCCAAGAAATGAAACAGCCGTTTAGCAAAGAAACTGTAAAACACAATTGATTCTGTTGGAGAGCGAGCTTTTGAATAAAGTAAGAGTGAGGAATGACAGCAGGAGGCGATTTGGAATGGGCACGGGTCTTTGCCAATTATACAATTTGTTATACAATTATACAATTATACAATTTGTATACAACTTATACCAATTTGGCAGAGTTTTCCCATTGATTAGGTTATCAATCTTTGAAGAAAGAAGATTGCTACATGCAATTATATCTTTCGATAAGTTGGAAATTAATTCAACAGTTTTTGCCATTAATGTTGCAAAATTGTCAGGCACAGGTGATCCCAATGGTGTTATATTCATTTGCGTTTCTGGCTCCTGGCTGGGTGCGTGCATTCCTTCACTCAGCGTTTCTAACAGCAATAATGAGTCTTGGCAGTTCTCCAGGGGTGAGAACTGATTTGAGACTGGAACATTATACGAGATAGACACATCCTTTGCTTTGAAGAAATAATCATTCATTTTCGTTTGTTTGCTTACCGGAGTCTGGGGCGCTTCGTCATTCCCATCTCCCTCTCCTTCTCCCTCTCTCCTCCTCTTTCTGGAAGTCATTTCAAAGTAGAAAATGCAGTTATAAAAAAGCTTTCCCCTTTTGTTTTCCTTAAGGCAGCCAGCCACAATATCCAGTTAAAACAGTTTAAAAAGGAGATAAAAACTTGCAAGGAGGAGGATCGTGAAACAGCCTCCACCCTGCACTCGTTAGCACCGGACGTCCCAATGTTATATCCAAAATAAAGGTTTTGGGGAAAAAACAAAACAAAATTTGAACCTTGGAAAAAACATTTTAATTTTAGGGTCCGAATCAATTTAAAGACATCTATCCTTACTTGAAAGGCATTATATTTAGGCATAAACACAAACCCTGGTCCCAGATTCAAAGTATCCAATATGTCCTTAGAGAATGTCCTATTAGTTAAATTCACTACTAATTCTTCTTCCTTCCTCGTTTGGACTGATTGTATGGTGTGTACTCCCTTGCCCTGGTTTTTAGTTTCCTGTCTAAAAAAGACCTCCCTGTGGTACTTTCCTCCCCGATGTTGTAGCTGAATCCTCAGCCTCAGTGGTCTCCATTTCTGAAACAGGGTCACGAGAATCTGCCCATGATACCCGCTTGACAGGATTCGCAGTTGGTGAGCACCACTTGTAAACCCTGTTAAGGGCATAATCTCTGCTATCTCTATCAAATTTCTTTAACTTGGTTTCCCTAGTTCTGCTTTCGTATGCTTTTAGCTCCTCCTCTAATTCCTTAAGGGAGTGGTGGCGCAGGGAGCAAAAGCACCTGCCTTAACATCTACCGAACAGCTTGTAGGCTGTTCGACACCAACCACAGCCGGGGTGAGCACCCAGCCCTAGTCCCAGCTCCCGCCCACCCAGCGGTTCGAAAGTCATAACAACTTACGAGTAGATAAATGGGTACCTGCCTTAGAAGGCAGGGAGCACCCTCCTCCATTGGGAGGTGAGGTGGGAACCTCAGCAGCAATGGTTCGGTGAGCAGCGGCGGCGGCAGCAGCGGAGTGGCCTGTAATGGCGGCGGTAGTCGAGGCGGTGAGCGGAAGAAAAAAGGAGACGCAACATCTAGCGGTGAACCAGCGGCTAAGGCGGAGCCCAGAAGGCGTGAGGACGCTCGGCGCAGGCGCGGCGGAGCCTGAGGGATGGAGCCAGTGCCGCGCCGATGTGATCAGCACGACAAATGGGCCCGCCAACTCCAAAAGATCTCCCGAGGAGCCTGAAGAGAGCGGAGGGAAGATGCCGATCCGAAGCCGAGAAGCCGAGACGAGACGAGCTGAAGACACGTCAACTGAATCCCACCGAGTGCCGTTAGATAGTCCTGCCCCTAATACGATATATATATATGTGCCCATAGATAGGGATAATACAAACTATGTAAGCTGCTCAGAGACCCATTGGAGGGGTTCGAGCGGGGTAGAAGTTGAAGGTAAATAAATAAAATAAATTAAGTTTATTCCCAAAAACTTCGGGACTAAAGGATTCCTTCAATTTGTCCTCCACTACTTTGATTTCCTTCTTCATTATTTCAGCCTCCTGTGTGGCTTCATCAATAATTAGAAGCATGAGATCGTAAGAACATTTACTAAGAATCGCGATCCATTTGTTTTTGAATTCCTCCTTATGTAGGAACTTGGCTGGAGCCTTCTGTAATCGTAATCCTCTGGGATTAAATCTGAATTACAATATTCTGTAAGGGATGCTGCATGTAGTGTCATTCTAATTTCTTTTTTGCTAAGAAAGTCCAATTGTGTCCAATCTGATGGACTCTTATCCCCTCTCTTAAGGCCAGGTATGTTTCCCAAAATCCTACATCTTTCCTCTTTCGAGAATGTAAATCTATGGTTTAATGTAGACATGATAACCCCAATATACAATAACCAAAAAGATAGAGGGGGGTGCAGTATGATATGAATACAAACAGAGTGGAACTACTGCAAACTGTGAATATTTCAAACTTGTATTAAATGCAATAACAATATATCAAACTATATTTTTTACAGAAAATTGAAGCCAATGTTTATAAATGATGATGGATGGATGACGAACTCCCCTGAAGTTGATATTCGTTTTGAGATGTCTTTTTCAAACATCAAACCTCCTAGCAAGAAACGTACCAATCAATCATTTCAGGAAACTACACTCAGCAATAATCAAATTCATCTTACAAATACAAATACATACATGCAAGTGTGTCTCCACAAGGTCACAAGTCTTCCAAATTGGATTTCTCCTAAATTCTACAATAAAATACAGTTTTATCACATTATTCTTGTTGAGTCTTTTAACAATCTTAATCAATTACAATATAGGTAAAAAAACTCTCCTTACCCTGTACATTTTGGTGTTATTCATAAGATGTTCTCAATCACAATATCAACTATGGGCTGATCAGCCTTAACCAGTATGTACTAACCCATTGCTTTATATTCTTTTTGAAATGTCACATGCTCTTCACATCAGTGTTGCCAACTTCATTCAAGTTTACACTTAAAAAGGACAAATTTAGCAATCCCATTCAGTTTACAAAATTACTTAGTAATAAAATATGCAGAGAAACAAATTATTAACACAACTGTGTGCCGATACAGGAATTTTCTTTATACTCCACCTTTCTCCCCAATGGGAACCCAAAGCAGTTTGCATCATTCTCCTCTCAATTTTATTTTCACAACTACTTTTGGAGGTAGGTTAGAATGAGAGTGCATGACTGTTCCAAGGTCACCCAGTGAGCTTCCATAAGAACATAAGAGAAGCCAATGTTGGATCGGGCCAATGGCCCATTCAGTCCAACACTCTGTGTCACACAGTGGCCAAAAATACCAGGTGCCATCAGGAGGTCCAGCAGTGGGGCCAGGACACTAGAAACCCTCCCACTGTTGCCCCCCCAGCACCAAGAATACAATGCATCACTTGCCCTAGACTGAGAGTTCCTATCTATACCTTGTGGCTAATAGCCACTGATGGACCTCTGCTCCATATGTTTATCTAATTCCCTCTTGAATCCGTCATGCTTGTAGCTGCCACTACCTCCTGTGGCAGTGAATTCCATGTGTTAATCACATGTGTTCCATGGCAGAGCAGGGATTTGAAAATGGGTCTCCCAGGTTGTAGTCAGCCATTGTAACCACTGCACAATACTGCACCTGATGCAAACAGTGAGTAAACACATGAAAGGTAGATCTTTATTAGCAAACGTGATTAATTTTCCCATGGCTACATTTTGTTTGCCTGTTGAATATTCTTTGCTAGATAGAGCATTGCTACTCACATTCAATACGATTATTTATGGAGGTTAAGATAATGTTATAGCAATATTAATCACATAAGTCTTGTTTAATTATATGTGGGGTGAATATTGTGCAACTAACATGGGTGTTTTCTAAAAACTCCTATGCAAAAGTCATCTCTGTTCTATTGTTTCCTTGTGACTGGCTCTCAAAAAGCCTGCAGTAAAGATCCATAAGGTACATAAGAAGAGCCCTGGTAGATCAGACCAATATTCCATTAGTCCAGTATCCTGTCTCACACAGTGGCCAACCAATTTTTCTAGACAGCCAACATAGGGTTGCCAGGTCCCTCCCTACTTTTTTCCAGTGGGGAGAAGCTCCTGTTCTGGGATCTTCACGTCATCACACTAGGCATATTGCGGGGGGAGGGGGATGCTCTAGCATGTGGCTAGAAACTCTGTGATACCATAGAGTTTTCAGACAGAATGTTAGAGCATCCCCCCCCCCAGTGACGTGCCCAGCACGATGACATCACCTCCGGGTGACATCATTGCACTGAGCATGTTGGTCCGATCCAGGCACTTTGGGGGCAGGGCCAGTGGATTGGGGGCCCCTAAAGCAGGCAAACCCCTGCCCCCTCAGGGGATCTGGCAGCCCTAAGCCAACAACAGGGCATCGAGGCCGAGGCTTTCCCCTGATGTTGCTTCCTGGCTCTGGGATTCAGATGCATAGTGTCTCTGAATGTGGAGAGTCCCCTCAGTCACCATGGCTAGAAGCCATTGATAAACCTATCCTCCAGGAATCTATCTAATCCCCTTTTAAAGCTGTTTATTTCTGTGGCCCAAAGGAAAAAAAAATGCCAGGTGAGATGAAGGAATAGACCTTAGAGATCATATTGCAAATTTATGTTGGTTACTGAAGTTTACAAGAGAATTTCAGAAGAAAATCAGCTTGTGTTTCATAGATTTGACTGTGTGGACCATGAAAAGTTATGGCTGGTTTAAAAAGGAATGGGTGTGCCACAACATCTGATTGTTTCAATGCACAACCTGTACTCTAGACAAGAGGCTACTGTGAGGACAGAACAAGTGGGGACTCGCAAGAAACTTGTGGCAGCAGCTATCCCATTCCCCCCATCTCTACTTCTCCCCCTCTCCCCTTACTTCTCTCTCACACTTTCTCCTTCTTGATGCCCCTTTTCTTACTCTGTCTGTCCTCTCCATGCCTATTACGGCCTTTCTGCCCCCACCCCATCACTCTTTCTGCCCCTGTCACTCTCCCAGCCCCCCATCTACTTCTCCCCCCCTACACACAGCAGCAGTGGCAGCAACTCCTCTCACAACAGATTGCCCAAATGCAGAGATCAGTTCCTCTTAGGGTTGCCAGCTCCATGTTGGGAAATTCCTGGAGATTCGGGGGTGGAGCCTTGGGAGAATAAAGTTTGAGCTTGTAAGAGACCTCAGCAGGGTATAGTACCATAAACTCCACCCTTCAAAGAAGTCATTTTCTCTGGGGAAACTGATTTCTGTCATCTGGAGATCAGTTGTAATTCCAGGAGATCTCTAGCCCTCACCTGGAGGTGGGCAACATTAGTTCCCCTGGGAAAAAATGACTGTTTTGAAGGGTGGAGTTTATAGCATTATATCTGTCATCTGGAGATCAGTTGTAATTCCAGGAGATCTCTAGCCCTCACCTGGAGGTGGGCAACATTAGTTCCCCTGGAAAAAAATGACTGTTTTGAAGGGTGGAATTTATAGCATTATATCTGTCTAAAGTCTCTTCCCACCTCAATCCCCACCACCCCAGGCTCCACGTCTCAAATATCCAGGAATTTCCCAAACTGGAGTTGGCATCCCTATCTCCTTCCCACCCAACAGCTAACTTACCTTTATCTGCCCCTCTGTCTTCAGCTTTCCATCTCCTTTCCCCCTGCAGCTTCTATTGAGGAAAACTATGGTCTTTCTCCACAGCGGGGACTAAAGCAGTTTACATTATTCTCTCCTCTTTTTATCCACACAACAACCCTATGAGGTAGGTCAGGCTGAAAGTATGTGACTGGTCCAAAATCAGCTTCCTCAGCAAGATGGGGATCTAACTCTCTCACTCTCTGGCTATGTCTCACTGTTGATGGAGCAGGGCCTGGAGTAGATCCCTGTGGCAGCCATTTCAAAAGGTATTGGGAGGGGAATTCAACCTTAACCAATTTTTTTAAAAAACCTTTTTGGATTTTTCTGCAAACCCACGGAGTCCCCTGAGTCTGTTGAAAAACCTGTTGGGGGAGAGTGTGCCCCCTATCTGTTGAAATAAGTATCTGCACACAGAGGGGACTGTTGAGAATTAGATATATAAATATGGAGAAACAGAATGCCAGGTTATATAAGTTTTTAATTTTCTAGAAGTCCTCCATACATATATCTTATTACAAGAACATCTGATGGCATATATAACCATATCTGAATTGCATGTTGTGTAGTGGTTTAAAATGAATTCTTTTTCTGTCAAAGGAATTGATAAAACTTTTCATATTTTGAGTTAGGTTACAATACTTAAGAAAAGGGGGAAGACAGGGCAAGACTCAGCTGCTTATTGTCTTTTAAAATGCCTTCAGCCTCAGAGTTATAATAAATCTAAAAACATCTAATATCATGTCCACAGGGTCATGTCTAGGAGTTGGTATAAAAGACAAACCTTTATTTAGAACTTGCAATTCATATTCTGATAAGATCCTGCCTGATAGATTAACTAGCGTCTTCGTCTTGTTCTGGATGGTTGCTGTGTCTTCTCCTGAAAACATTCCCCCCCTCCTTTTGTTAGATAATATACCTCCGATTAAAAAAGGAGATGGAGTAGATTTTAAGGCTGCAGACTTTGGACTTTATGGGTTAAATTCTGATCTGGGGATTCTGACCTTGCTCAGCTAATCTGTACATCTAAAAAAATCTGCATCATTCTCCACTAGTAAAAGAACTTAATTGTGGTGGACAGTTACAACACTAGATGAATGCTCTGGTCAGTATTTGCTTCATATATATATCTAATAGTGAAGTGGCCCCCTCTGTGTGGATATCTAAATCCACACTTCGGGGGCACTTGGGGGGCAGGGAGAGGTTTGTGCACACGTGGGGTGCACAAAAATCTGAAACCCCGGGAAAAATATCGGTGGGGGATGTTTAAATCCCCCCAAAACTGACAGAGCATCCCCTGCGCATGTGCTGGGAACGCTCTGGGAACGCCGCCGCCACCGCTTGGAGCAGCGAGGCGAGCGGCGAGCTGGGAGGGGGGGCAAGAGCGGCGAGGAAGGAGAGAGAGCAGCGAGGGCCACTCGGCCCTTGCTTTGGAGTGGGGCGGAGGGAGAAAGAAGGACGAGGCCCTCCGCGAGCGGACCTTCAAGCAGCCGGCCGGCAAGGCGCCCGAGGTTGCCAAGGAGGTGCCCGCGGGCCACGTCAACACCACCCCCCTGGAGAAGAAGGTTGTCATCAAGAGCGAAGCCGCCTCGCTGGACTTGCCCGTCATCACCAAGGTGGAGACGCTCAGCCCGGAGAGCGGCCGGGCGCTGCAGGACAGCCCGCGGAGCGTGGCCTCCACGCCGTCGGCCTCCACCGAGGGCTCCCTGCCCGGCGACCCCCACCACCCGGGCGCCCCCAACGGCCTGTCCGGCTTCAGCGTGGAGAACATCATGACCCTGCGGACTTCCCCGCCCGGGGGGGAGCAGCTGAGCCCCGCCGGACGGACGCCGGCCCTGGGGGGCCCCCTCGGCGGCTACGCCCAGGCCCAGCCGCCGCCCTCCCTCTACAGCCAGGCCTGCAGCCAGGGGGGGCTGGGGGAGGCGGCCGGCGGGAGCTACCAGTGCAGAGCCCCTGGCCTCCATGACCCTGGCATCGGGGGGCCAGCACCAGGATGCCGCCCTGGCCACCGGACACCCCCACCATCCCCACCATCACCCCCATGCCCTGCCTCACCCCGAGGCTGACGGGCAGGCGGCAGCGGTGGCGGCCTCTTGGTACCTGAACACCCCGTCGGAGCTCTCGCCGCACCTCCCGGGCCACGCCTTCGGCTCGCAGCAACAGGGCTTCCCCAACATGCGGGACATGTTCAGTTCTCACCGGCTGGGCCTGGAGACCGCGGTGCCGCTGAGCGACCCACAGGTGAGCACTAACGCCAGCTGCCAGATCCCCTACTGGTCCGCGCCCTCCATATACCGCCACTGCGCCACCCCCTATTCCTATGATTGCGCCAAGTATTGACCTCAGGGCAGAGGCCCAGGCCCGGCGGCGGCCGAGGGGGAAATATATAAAAACAGGGGGCTTTAAGCGGACGCTGCCAAAACCGCCCAAGAAGGAAGGTCGTGGGGGGGGCCTGCCTCGACGGGGTGGTCCGAGTCGGGTCCGCCCGTCGGAAAAAGGGGGCCTTTGCGGACAGAGAGGGCCCCCCCTCTCTTTGCACTTCTTCTTTTAAAAATCCACGTACAATCGGTTCTAATTGAAAAAGAAAAACAAGAAGTCCAGAGGTCTCCTGTTTTTTGGTTTAAGGAAAATAGGTGGTGGGGGGGTTGCTTTGGAAAAAAAGGCCAAATTTCTGTTTCCTAAAAAACGGAATGTTGATCTCCGCAGGGGAGGGAAAGATTAAATTATGATGATCGCTGCAGCCGGGGGGGAAGGCCAGGGGGGGAATGCCAGAGGGGGGAGATCGAGCGGGGGTGTGTGGAGGATATGGGGAGGAACCGGCAGGATGGGGGGGACTTACCTCCTCCTGCTGCTTCCTCCTCCGCCTCCTGAGTTTGGAGCTCAGTTTGGAGCTCTGCCTCCTCCCCCTCGCGAGTATCGCGGGTCCACCCCTTGTATATTATATATTGTTATTGTCTTGTTTCATGTCCAATGTATAGTTTATTCATCTTATATTGTATATTGACTACTATGTATAAATTTTTGGAACTAATTTTGATCCTATCTTTTAATTAATATTATTTTAATACTTTTGTAATAATTTTTATTAAGGGGGTCATTCTGTTATTTGTATTACTTGTATTAAATGTAAAATTATGTTTTTATAGATCCCCCTTGATGAAGCCTGCATGATGAAACACATAGGGACTTTATACAATAATAAATCAATCATCACATGGCATTTTTTCCCTTTTTGTTCTGTTGGCACATTTCTGGGTGCAACCCATTTTTCTTTATCCTTAGATATTCCTGTGGCCATCACTACATCCCCTGGCAGTGAATTCCACATTTTAATCACTCTCTGTGTAAAGTGGTATTTCCTTTTGTTCGTCCTGAACCTACTGCCCATCAGCTTCATTGGATGCCCTCCAACTCTAGTATTGTGAGAGATGGAGGAAAATGTCTCTTTGTCAATTCTGTCCACCCCATGCATAATTTTCTAAACCTCTATCATGTTCTCCCTTAGTTGTCTCTTTTCTGAACTGAAAAATCCCAGACTCTTCAGCCTCTAATCATAGGGAAGGTGCTCCAACCCCGTAATCATCTTGGTTGCCCTCCTCTGTACTTTTCCCAGCTTTGCAGCATCCTTTTGGAGATATGGTGACTAAAACTGTACACAGTATTCCAAATGAGGTTGCACCATAGATCTATACAGGCTGTTTTATTCTCAATCCCTTTCCGGATAATCCCTAACACAGACTTTGCCTTTTTCACCACTGCAGCACACTAGGTTGACACTTTCATTGAGGTATCCACTACATCCCCAATATCTTTTTCCCTTACAGTTTCAGCAAGTTCGGACCCCTTTACCTATACTTGAGTTTGGATTTCTTGTCCCAGTGTTTGTCACCTTACACTTACCACCATTGAACTTCATTTGCCACATTGTTGCCCACTCATCCAGTTTGTGGAGGTCCTCTTGGAGCTCTTTAGGGCCTTGGTTTTCACCATCCTGAATAAGTTTGTGTCATCTGCAAACTTATCCCTAATTCCAGATCATCTCTCTATATAATAATTCTGTTTTGGTCGTGGACTCTCCTGAACATTCCACACGCTCCCAAATCAGTTCACTCCCTGATCTGTCACTCAGAAGTTGTCCCTATCAACTGGCTGCATTGCCTGAGTCTCGCCTCCAATATTCTAAACAGTTTGCTGTTCCTCTCCCCCCAATAGCCAGTTGAAACACAGAGGTCATTTGCATATGTGGCCTGATTGGCCTTTGCCTCTAACCTTCTAAACAGTTTGTTGTTGCTGTTGGGAGTCATTGAATGTGTCCTGAGGTAAAATACATATCCCAATTTTCCCTTAAATGGTCACGGGAGTTACCAAAATACATATCTCAATCTTCCCTTAAACGGTCACTGGAGTTGCCAAAATACATATCCCAATCGTCCCTTAAATGGTCACTAGAGTTGCCAATCTCCCTGTGGGCCCTGGATATCTCCCAGAAATCACCATGTTCCCCAGCCACAGCACATCATTCCCCCTATAGAAGATTTCCCAGCTATTACAATGGCTGCTTTGGGCAGTGGACTCTATGGCATTATACCCTGCTGAAGTCCCTCTGTACCCCAAACCCTGCCCTCCCCAGGCTTTTCCCACTCAGATCTACAGGTCTGGCCCTCCCCTTAGTATTGCCACCCTCCAGGCAGCACCTGGAGATCTCTAAGATCAGTTCTCCTGGAGAGAATGGCTGCTTTGGGCAATTGACTCTATGGCATTAAACCCTGCTGAGGTCCCTCCACACCCCAAACCCTGCCCTCCCCAGGCTCTACCCCTCAAATCTACAGGTATTTTCCAACCCAGAGTTGGCAACCCTGTAACTGGCTATGGAACCGCTTTCCAGACCCTTGGAACCCAGAAGACAAGGCATAGGAGGAGGTGCTTTTCTACCTTAGCTGCCACTGCATAACCCCAAATCAACATAAGTCAAGGGTGGAGGGAACCATACTTGTTACTATGAGGCTGTCCTCCCATAGTACCCACTTGGGGCAGCAAAATGACTTGAGACAGCTCTGCCTTATAGTTAAGCAGAAGGAAAGAAACATGGCTTGCCTCCCTCTAGTTTCCCCTTCCCTCTTCTGCCCCACCAGCGATAGCTGGGACACTCACCTGGAGCTTCCTTCTAAGAGCTCATTGTATTTCTTCCCACAGTGGGCCTTACTTCTAGTTTATGAATAAATTAAATCCGTCCATTGTGAGAACTATCCATTTATTCCTATTCTTTGGTCCCTGTCACTTAGCCAGTTTTTAATCCATAAGAGAAGCTGTCCTCTTATCCCAAGACTTCAAAGCGAGGCCCCACACTTCCTTCCCACCCATCGCCACCTCCTGTGGGCTGGCAAGCGAGGAGGAGGAGGGGAGCCATGGTGAAGGAGAAGCTGTGGCTTAAACATGATATTTAAAAATTAAAGGGAAAGGGGTGGGGCACGGTGCCCCTAATTTGATAGGGGGTGCCGCCCTCTGCACACACACCCACGCTTGCTACAGCCCTGCCTCAAACCTCATATTCATATGAACACACGAAACTGCTTTATACTGAATCAAACCATTTGGACCATCACAGTTTTGTCTACTCAGACTAGCATTTGCTTTCCAGGATTTCAGGCAGGGGTCTTTCATATGACCTGCTACTTCATCCTTAACTGGAGATGACAGGGATTGAACTGGGGACCATCTGTATGTTGAACAGATACTCTACCACTGGAACACAGCCCCTTCCCTAACAAAATAGAGTCATGGGTAGGCCAGGATCTGGTGAATTCAATCTAGAAAGGTAGCAAGGGGAAAGCAAGAGGCAAAGAAAGTTTACCTGTAAGAAGGGGGAAGTGGGAGGAAAATAACATGTTCGAGGGTTGGATGGGCTACATGGCAACAATCTGCCTGGTTGTGAGGAAGAGACCCTGGTGTCCAGCAGCCAGACTCACCCAGGTGAAGCAGGGTGGGACCAAAAACAGGAGGTTATAGCCAGGGTACTTCAGCAACAGGCAGCTTTGGCAGTCTGCCACAGAGAGGCTCAGAAGGATTGGAGGCAGGAAGTCAAGACCCCGGAAGATAAAGGAGCAGGAAAGGGTCCGTCATACAATCTGAGAGACGTGAAAGGGAGGCTGCCCAAACCATGAAGACAAGTTCGGAAAGCGCATGAAAAGACTTTACTAACAAAAACCAAAAGGACACTACTAATCCATTAACAATTTTTATTTTCTTTACAGGTAAAGATGAAAGACGACTGACAACTCGCAGAAGAAGCCAAAAGAAGATTTGTGTACTACTAGTAAAAGATTAACATACTAATAATAATATCACCCAACCTTTTCTTTATCCCACTATATACCTCCCTTTTTCTTATATGAAAAAGAATAAACTCTCTTCTTTTTAAAAGAGTCAATTAAAAAAAAAAAGAAGGATTGGAGGCAGCATGTAAGCTAGGACAAGGAAGCACTGGTCTTCAAGGCTCTGGTGGTTTATGGAATGTCAAAGAGAGTCTCCCTCCTGCCCAGGCCGGGCTGGAGATTCTCTTCACCAAGAGGCTGGCTAGTCACGGCTTCCGGTTTGGCTCCCGCGTATGGCGGACGCATCCTCGGGTCGCTCCCGAGGGCGTCTCGCCCGCCCGCGGTGGAGGAGGGAATCTGCGCGAGCGGAGACCCGAACGAGCACCTCAGGAGAGAGGAGCTCGGATCCGGGGCGCTTTAGGGCGCACTAGGGGGGAGCCGCTCTTTCGGCCGAGAGGTCGGAGAGCGAGGCTCCCGCCATGCCCTGCCCCAATGGACCTTGCTGCGTGAGCGACCCCGAACGGGGTTTAGCGGAGCCACCAGACGTCACCGCCATAGCAGTCCTCCTATGATCCCAAGCAGGTATTTCCTCAGCAATGTGTTGTAAGTCCAGAAAAAGAATGGCAGTAGCGCATTAGCACAACTCATTTGCATATGCCACACCCCCTGGCATCATTGACAGTGTGTCAGAAGGCAACACCCACTGCTCAGGCTCCATTCCACAGGTGAGTGAAACTGACCCGCTCTATCTCCATTCCAGGACAGCTGGGGAAGGGAAGGCAGCAGAGCCATGGCTGGGAGAGGAAGGGGGTGGCATTCATATGCCATCCCCCTTTCATTCTCCAGGGAAAAAAGGAGTCATTTAAAGAGGCCTCCCCCATCTTGCTTTGCTTCCCCAGCCAGCCTGCCAAAGTGGGCCAGCTGGGAAAGCAAAAAAAAAAAAAAAGATGGAGAAGCATCTTTAAATACCTCGCCTTCGCTTCCCCAGCCAGCCTGACACCAGAATTTTTCATCCTTGGCCTGGAAGTC